AAGAACCTTTATTTTCTAGTTTACATTTTTCTTTACTGCTTTGAATTATTTTCATGAACATGTGTTACTTTTTAAATGAACAAGAAAAATTTAAAGAAGGGATAAGGGACAAATGGAAGGTGATTTATCAAAAGAAGGAACTTACCAAATTTATCATTAGAAGGCAAATTCAGCAATAGGGCCTGAAGGTCAGAAGACAGGGTGGCTGATTGGTGGACCCTTCCTGACCCAGCCCACTTGGCAACATGAGCATGTTGTTCTCATTCATTAAGCTCGAACTCCTTCAGACGGAAGCAGTCTTGCTGTGGGGCCCCCAGTAACATGGCTAGGGAAAGGGAGTGGTTCCCTTCCCCAACTGAAGCCAACCACTGAGTCTTCGGCACCTAAGGAAGGAAAGCACTGGTGGCCAGATCCATTGGCAGGGATTTGCACCCATGACAGAGTTCCAGCTCAGGCAGCAAGGCTGGAGTATCCCTGTCCCAGCTCATAGCGGGATGAACGTCGAGCTTAGTTACCACCAAGTCTTGGCACAGTGGAGCTGATAACAGAGTTGTAGGCATCCAACAACAGCAGAAGAAAGCAATCATCAGGACTGGATCAGGAATGCATACGGGTAATACAGGCTTGGAGAATCCCAGAAACACGTGAAGAAAATCCACCAGAGACAGGAATGTCTGAGTGAGTCCTTCAGCATTTTAAGCTAATGTTATTCAACTTTCATTCATTCATCTGATATACTGAGGTCTTAACTATGTGCAAGGCACAGGGGCTACAGCCATGAATAAGGTAAACATGGAATTTACTAAGTTGAATTGGATGAAAATAAAGTTGCCAATATTCAACCTTTTTGGATCTACAAAAATGGCATTTTCTTATGGGTCAACATAAATACTTCTGGCAAGAGAGAAAGAAAAGAAAACCAATGAATTACCCAATTAATTGCTCAATTACAATTATGAAAAGAGCTATGGAGGAGCGATCAGATCTAACCCAGTTGTGTGTGCGGCTGGGGGCGGGGGCGGGCAGGGGGGTTTGTTGGTCAAGAAAGGCTATCATTAGTTACTTTTGAGGAAGTGACAATGAGGAGGAATTAATGAAGTGAAGGAGAGCAAGGGACATCATTCCTGGCAAAGCCAGGGGCGAAGGCCTTGGAGGGCAGGAAACCGGTCTGTTCCAGGGACTGAGAAGGTGACTGAATCCACGGGGAAGGACAGAGGTAGAAGAGGTTGAGACCAGGTAGGAAGCAGAGCCAGATCAGGAGGGCCTTGTAGGCCATTTTAAGACTTGGGTTTTATCCTAAGAGATTTAAAAAACAACGGCATATATATATATATATATATATATATANATATATATATATATATATATATATATATATATTTTTTTTTTTTTTGGTATCCAAAAGCTGGCAAAGTCTAGAGAACATTCAGGCTACAAAGATTGTTCTATCCCCTTCTCACAGACGAGCCCAGCACTCTACAGCTACAAGGCTAGTGGGTGGTTGCATCAGAATTGGATTCTAGGTCCTTCCAAAGAGCTTTCCCCACTGAGGATGCCACTGAGAGGGTGGCAGGGGTGAAGCAGGGAGGAGGCCAAGGGGGCCACGTGAGCCCCAGACCCGCCCACCCACGGGTTGCAGCTCAGTGCCCAGCAGTCCTGGCGGAAGCTGCACATGAACACACAGTAGAGGAGCAGGTCCAGGCAGCTGTGGAGGCTCAGCAGCGCCAGGCTGAGGGTGTGCAGAACGTCGAGCGTGGAGGCGGCACGGTTGTTGGACTTGTTGACAAGCTGTGAGAAATGGGGAAGAGGCAGAAGGCCCAGAAACCTTGGAAATTTCCAACCTGGTGACTGGGAGGGTGGAGGTTCCCCTCCCAGAGGGAGTATGGTTCAGCTATGTGGGGGCACAGGCATGTGCAGTAAGCCCAAGCAAGGCTGAGCCAACTAGGGGTTCTGGGGAAACCAGGCTGGAATAGAGAGAATCCCACCCAGAAAGAGCCCAAGTTGCCCAGATCAGTTGGGGAGGCAGCAGGACCTAGATGAAGGGCCAGTCCTATGATGCACTCATCCAGAGGACGGGCCTATGCGTAGTGACCTTGGACTTGCCTTTGTGAAGGTCTTCTCCTGACGCTTGCCTAGAGTACCTTGGGCAAGGTTAAGAAGGTTTCACAACTCTCAGGCCTTCCAGCCCGTTTCCCACCTCCTCACCTTTTGAACCACACGGAAGGCCTGGGTCTGACTCAAAACTCTAGACAGCAAATCAGAAAGAGCCCAGGCCCTAGAATCAGGCAGATTCTAGATATACACATTTATTTGCCACGTGACCTTGGGCAAATTACTCAGCTTACTGAGCCTGTCTCCTCTGCTGTAAAACGGAGATTAAAATACCTACCTCAGTGTTGTTGGGAGGGTTATGAGAAAACATAAGTAAAACTCTGAGCACTGTGGCTGACACTGGGGATATACTTCATAAGCATTAGTTCCCTTCCCCTCCAGGGAGCACATAGCACACACCCACACAGCCCACACACAGCACTAGAGATACAGACTCCAAGTAAACGAAACAAAGATATCTGGGCGTAGTGCTCTTCTCTCAAGGGAGGAGGTGCACAAGCCAACGTCCTCTTCCTTTTGGACACATACTCCTAGGGTCTCCAAAACTCGGTTCCTCCAATACCAACATTTGTACTGCTGCCTTTGAACCTCTCAGGCTACAGTCCTTTGTGGGACCCTGAGGGAGTGTATTCTCTTCTCCCCCTCCCTCTCAGCTCTGTCCACCATGGCTCTAGCCCCCCAACTGCCCCGCCCTGAACCTCCCCTTGCCATCCCACCAGATCAGTGCTCTCTTACCTCTTGCTGTTCTGGCTTCAGCCGCTCTCTCTGGGGCCCTTGGGGCCTGGCTTTAAGGAGCTGAGACAGAGCAGAATCGACTCCCACCCACACATCCTAGACCCTCCCCTCAACCAATTAATCCCAGGACATGACATGAAAATTGGGACCAACAGCTGGAGGGATGGGGCCCACCGGTGGCAGCCAGGGCCCCACGGGAAGGGAGTGTCATTGCAGGGCAATGGGGGGGTGGGGGATAGGAAAGTATAAAGAAGCCCTGGCAACTGAATGCCATTGTGTTGACCTGACCTAGGTTTAGGCTGCAGTGTGGGAAGCACATTTCCTGGGGCCTGGCTTCTCCTTGGGCTAAAGAGTCAGTGATGGAGCTCCTGCTGCTGTCAATCCCAACTGTTCCTCCATCCCAGCTGGCCAGCCCACTCCTCTAGCACCCTGCCTTTCCCACAGCTGCGGGGGGGGGGGGCTACAGTCAAGCTGGGGGAGCCCTGTAGCAACTAATCTGTGTACGGGCCAAGTCTTGGTAAACAGGAACCCTCAATCTAATGGCAGCTATTAAGGGGTTTTACTCAAAGTCCTGGCGGGAGACAGGCTGGCAATGGCATCCTGGCAGGGGGGTGAGATGGTTAGAGCCCAGGATCCTAGCGGGGACAGGCTTTACTTTCCTGGGCTTCAAATTTTTCATGCAGAGGGACAATTCTGGAAAGCAAAGCAGACTTAATCGCATTGGACAGATCATCCCATCTACCTTCAAATTGAAGCACACGGATGCCATGCCTGCCCACTTCCGACTTGGCAGATGGTGCAGTGTAGTGTGTGCTCTGGAGTCAATCAGGCCTTAATTCTAGTCTCAGGTCTGACACATAGGCACTTAAGCTTTCTGAGTCCATTTTCTCATCTGTACAACAAACCAGTATTTAATAATATCATTTACTGAGCACTTACTATGTGCCAGGCACTACTGTAAGCACTTTAACTCTCTAAGTCCTCACAGCAACTCTAAGAGGCATGTACCATTATTATTATTTTTTTAAAGATTTTATTGGGGGAGGGAACAGACAAGTTGCTGTCCTTTGGTTCTTCAGCCTAGTTATGGAGGATGTCACTTCACTGGCCCATGTTGCTATTGTGATCATTGCGCTCTTCCCGGCTGAGGCAGATTGCTTGCTGGCCATTGAACGGCCGCTCCCAGCGGCTCATGGCCCCTCATGCTGGTTGCTGGCCACTCACGGTAAGCTTACGGCAGTCCACTGCAGCCCCACTGCAGCCTACACCATCACCGGCGACTCACAGCAGCCCAGCTCCAGGTCGAGCTGTTGTTCACCATCTTAGTTGTAGAGGGCGCAGTGTCACTGGCTCTCATGTGGGATCCGAACCGGGAACCTGCTGCTCAGAGCTGGCATCCCAAGCCAACTCTTAACCAACGAGCCACTCGGCCAGCCCCAGTATGTACCATTATTAAACATATTCTGCAAATAAGCTAGTATGTGGCAGAAACCATAATCCACCCCCGTCTCTTCTTTGCAGACCAGTGTGAGTAAATCTGAACTAGTTTTAGTCCATCATGGGAATTCCATTCTCCTTGCTAGTGACTGGTCTAGGAGTAGAAATGTGACATAATTCTGACCAGTGAGATATGAGGGGAAACCGAGGGGTTTTCTAAGAGAGCTTTCCATTCTCTTTCACCTTTGGATGTTATGTGCAAATGTGCCATCTGGAGCTGCTGCAACTATTTTGCAACTGTGAGGGCAGTAGCCAATAAATTGACAACAGCAGAGCAGAAAATTGAAACATCAGTTTTTGATGTCATCGTAAGGCAGCCAAATTACCCGCTGTTGAAACTGAAGCTACGCTATCTAGGAACCTGTTACATGAGCAAAAGCTTCCATATTGTTTTGACTCTATATATGTAGTACATGTACACTAGTACATGTATATGTACTTCACACATACTACTATATACGAATATGTAGTTATATATGTATATATGTGTTATATATATATGGTGAAGAAGATTGATGTGACAGCAGGTACCCTAACATGGTCCCTTTCCCTTGAGAGTACGTGTACACACACACACACACACACACACACACACACACACACACACACCTGACTCCCTAGGACCTCTGGGGTTCATCCCAGGCTTCTGGCACTGCTTCAACAGGCAACGTCCCTTGGAGTTGGCTGTCCCCTGCCTCCTCGTAGGTGTCCAAGGAGCAACGCACTGAGTGCCCCACCTCACCACCAGAGGCTGGCAGCTTCAGGTCCTGTAAAATGACTCAATGCCCATCTCTGTTAGCTTTGCAAATCTAAAGTGCCCGAGATAAAAAGAAATGGGAGGAAATACCTCACATGACTCAAGGGCACAGGCAGAAGCAGGCACTAATGTTCTGCCACTATGTGCAAATTTTAAGTATGTAATAAAAACCTTAAAAACGTGCATACCTTTTGAACCAGGACCTTCACTTGTAGGGAAAGAAAATACATATGCAAAGGTGATTTACTGTGAGGTTTATAATAGCAAACAATTGGGAACAATCTAAATATTCCTCAGTGGGGGCTTGAGTAAACACATCCTCACAATGGAATACTACAGATATTAACATCGACAATGTAAAACAGATATGAAAGAGTATATTAGTTTTAAAAAGTGAGTAATAAAGTAGTATATATGGTCTCATTTTTAATTTTAAAATATCTGCATAAAAGCATAGAAAAAAACCTGAGAGGTATAGTTATACAAAGGAATTGAAACGAGTTATTTTGGGGCATTTAAATGTTGGGTGATTTAAATTTCTTTTCTGCTTATTTTCTGTTTTCACAGGACAAGGGGAATGCTAGTAAATGTCAAAACACAGCAGTAAATGTCCATGAGCGGAAGCAGGGCCAGGGTAGACAAGATGTCTGTTTCAACACTGGCCGTATTTTGACCCTAGATGTATTGTATTGGTAACAAGGTGACGGATTCTGTGTGTTCCACCATGTTCCTGCTGGGACAGTGACAAGGCACAGAGAGGCAAGAGACACTCTACTCTCAGGATTTCTTGAATGCACTTCGAGTCTTCTTCCTAGTACGTCTGACCACCTTCTTAGGTTGGACTAAGAGCTGGCAGATGTCCAGCAGCAGTAGGAGTGCCAGGCAGATGATAGCTGGGATGCAAGTGTTGAGTGACTCTTTTAGAGACGCCAAAGTGAAGATAGCCCCTGGAATGGAAAGTGAAGTCTCTGAGGCTCCTTGGGGGCACCCAGGAAATCCAGGAGCTCAGGGCTCTCCAGCCTATGCTAACCCACTCCAGCTCAAGCCCTCCCATTAAGCACCACCCCCTCCACACACACCCTAAACTAGCACTCATCTGTCTGGCCTCCCAGAGAAAGCAGGACCAGGAATCAGAAGCTTTTTGAACTAATGTAGCCCCTCTCAGAGGGCAAGAAAAGAAACATAACAATCCAGCCAAATACTGCGGGGAGGTGGGTAGGTAGGCGTTTTTGGAACACAGTCGCCCTGACGCTACTCTTAATCCTACTGGAGGGAGGGAGGCCAAGGGTTTGGTGGTGGAAGTGAAGCAAAGATCTGAAAACGAGGGAAGTTCGAAAAATGGAAAGAAAGCCTGGGGGCGAGGTGGTAGTGGTGGCAGCAATGGTGACAACAAGGCTGGGACATACAGAAGAGCCTGAACAGCACTGTTCCCTTTCCTCAATTCCCCCCGCCCCCCCCAAAAAAAATCTTTAAAAAGAAGAGCCTGAAGATGTCTGGCCTTTGAAGCAGCAGCTGTCTTTGTACCTCAGCAGTTCCTGTGGGCAGAGCTACTAGGAGGTGGGCCCTCCAGGACTGCCTGCCCCAGGAAAACTTTCTGCCTTTCTGTTCAGGGGGCTCCGCTTCCCTGTTCCCAACTGCCCGATACATAAGTGGCAGCTGCTACTCTATCCTCTCATCTCAGGAGTGGGATCGGGGGAGAACAGTAGGAGCTTCTAGGTTACAATACATCTTTATAAATGGAATACCACACAGCCAATAGAATTGATGAGGTAGAAGGTATAGCTGACATAAAAGCGTTACAGTATATTGTGTGAAAAGCACCTGTCCTACTCTGAAGACCATGGAAATTGCAGTATAGCAGGAAGTGCTCCTGGTTCCAGAGAAAAAGGAAGGGTGGCAACAGTAAAGGGGAAGAGAGGAACAGCCAGGTCTTTCCATCATCCTCCCCAAGAAGCCCCTCGCTATCCTCTGCCCAGGTGGACCCCCCTTACCCATCATGAGCACGATCAAAAGAAAGTTACTGATCTCTTGCAGCATCGGTGGACCCAGGACCAGCAGCAACCCAGCCAGCAGTTCCAGCCAGCCCACAGCCACTTGGTAGCTCATGGGATCTGGCTGGTAGCCGAACACCTTCAACGGGAACACCTCAGCGAACTGGATGAACAGGGCTTTCTAGGGGTGGCAGGGAATACCTGTCAGCCAAGCACCAAGGACCCACTGCCCAGTGCTCCACAGGGGCATTTAGTGCCTACGTCCTCAGCTCCCCAAAAAAGGAGCTCCTACTCTAGGTCAGGTCCAGGGCTGAGGTCAGCCTGGAAAGGTGAGAGCCTCCCTGGGAGGGGGCTGAGCTTTAGAATCAGGAAATAGGCTCTATGCTCCAAGGAGAAGGGCTAGATGGTGATGGAGAGGTAGACTTATTTTCTCCCCGGACTCAAACCTGATTACAACCCAGCCCCAAATTCCAGAAAGAGGAATCAAGGCTTCGGCCGTTTAATCTAGTGCCAAGGCCTTGGGAACTCCACAGCTCTCCTTTCTTTCTGCCTGGCTTGGTTTCTACTCAAGCACTATGTAGGAATATCTGGAATTGGCAGAGGATGGAAGGGCAGATTGTTGCTCATTAAACAGATTCCACTCTGAACATCATATGCTGAGTCCTGGATCCCACCACAGTAGGGATAAGAGGAGTTTATTAGGCTAAAGTAACTCATCTTGGTGAGTCAGGCTGTCCTGGGCCACATGACAACACCCCAACCCTCAGATTAGCTACCTCTTCCTGCTCCCCCACCTCAGCTCAATCTCCCCTACTCAGCACTAAAGGAAGAAGCTCTAAGCTATCCGGCTCCAGAGATGAACTTCCCCAAGCCCACCACCACCCTAAGCCAGGAAAGGAGGGGAGAATCCAGGCCTTGGGAGAGGGAGACTGCCAGGGTCTCCAGGTTTGGCGTCTTCTAGAGGCTTGGGACTTTCGTGGGCATAAGAACATGAAAGCTTTCGTGGAATGTGGAACCAGAAGAAGGCCGAAGGGCGACTTCTTAGTCCTCCCTCTCGAGGTTCCATTCTCTAGGAAAGGGATCTGTGGATTCTAACAGGAGAGTGTCTAGTTTGGGTCCTGCTTCCTAACTAGCTGTGTAACCAACCTTTAGAAGATACACTTCACCCTCAGGGCGGTTTCCTACCCTGCCATGCAGGGGTTAATAAAGCCCTCACGAAGCTCCCAAGAAGCACAGGAAGGAGGGGAAAGGAGTGGGTAAGGAGCTGTGACCCTTTTCCATTCCATCTTCCTCCCCCAGTCTCGCAGCATTTCTCTTCCAGCTCTAGATTTGCCTAGGCCACCACTGATCAGCTGGAAGGGGACCTGCCAGACCACTTCCATCTATGGAATACCCAGAGAACTCAGACGAACTTCCCAAGCAGGCGCCCACGTCATAGTCGAGGTCCAGGTGCTCTGCCCCCAACCCTAGCGCCACCTTGCCCTAAAGCAGGCGCGTCCGCGGGACACGGGCGCGGGCAGGCGGGGGCGGGGCGCCTCGGGTAACGGCTGGGGTAACCGCTGGGGCCCATCCGCCCACCGCCCACGCCACGCCGCTCACCATCTGCTGCGACGCGGGAGCTGCGATCTGCTCCGAGAGCTTGGCCGCCCCCGTGAGCGCGAAGAAGCAGCCTAGCAGGACACGCAGAGCAGCGAGCGGGAGTGCCATGGCCGCGTAAGCCCTCCAGCAGGGCGGGCTCGCATACTCCAGGGCAGGCCCCGCGGAAAACCCGCCCCTGCCGCGGTTTTATTTCCTCCCGCCACCGGGCGGCCGGAAGACCTGCGCCAGAGCCTCCCTTTCCTTGCCTTCCAGGGGTGTTGCCATCCTCTCTTTTGTCCTAGCACTGGTAGCAGGAGAGATGGCATTTGTCGCACACGGGGACACTGAGGCCCACTGGCTCTTAACTAACTGTACGGGCCCATTTGAATTCAGGGAAAGTCTCCGTCTCCTAGTTCGTACGGACAGAGTGGAGTCAAACGTGGGTATCTGGACGTGGCTCGCAGAAGAGCTCTGTTAGGATCGAAAGTCCGGGGCTTCATTCCTGTCTGTGCCACCCTAGCTTTGCGTTCTGAGCTGCCACCTAACCTCAGTGGGCCTCAGTATCTGCTTCTGTAAATGGGGATAATGTTTTATCAGTCCTCCAGATACATGTAAGAGCTCAAAAAGTTAGCTGCAAATTAGTAAATTATTAATAGTAATAAACCAATAGCTAGTCACAAAATGAATTGCTCTTTTGTGTCTTTGCCTGAAATATATTTTCCCTCTAATTTCTCTTAAATTAAAATGTGAAAGGTGCTTGAATATTCAGATACTTGCAGCCAGGAGAAGAGAGGCTTTCACAAACAAAACCCTACAGGGAACCCCTGGCCCATCTGCTCTTACCTGGAAATCGGTCTAGACCTGGATGGGCAAACTATGGGCCAAATTCGGTCAGCTGTCTGGTTTTATTACTCCGTCTCCCTCCCCCAGCTAACAATGTTTGTTTACATTTTTTAATGATAAAAAATTTTAAAGGCAGTTTTCATATGACAGGAAAATGATGTGAATTCTTATTTCAATGTTCATAAATAAAAAGTTTTATTGAAACGCTGTTTTTGTGCTGCAGCCACAGAATTGAGTACCGTAGTTGCCACCTATGGCCTGCCAAGCCTAAGATAGTCACTATCTGGCCCTTTATGACAAAGGTTTATCAAACCCTGGTCTAGTGAGCCAGAGAGGCCCCCAAAAGGGGTCTCAAACTCTCCTGCTGCTCTCATTTCCTGTTAGCCACGTTGCTTAGATCTGTTTTCTCCCTACCCACAACCTGCTAGAGTGGGAGGCAGGCTGGCTGAAGGCTAAAATGCCCCACGTGCTCTAAACGCCAAGCAGTTTCAACATCCAGGTTTGCTATTACATAAATTGGGCCTTTCATTACCTACATGTTTGTCACTAATCCAAATTATTCAATCAATGAATAACATAGTTAAATTCTCTACCTTGGAATATTAAAACTATAATTATGTGAAAATGTATAATTATTAAATTCCACAAAAAGAGAAAAATTATTAAAACATTTAATCACTGAAAGCACAAATCCACATTAGGAAATTATATTTTAGGATACTTATCTCATACAAAATTTAACACAAAAGTATAGAATTTGATAATAAGCAATATGCATTTACTATTCTTTCTCCTTTACTAATTTTTCTATCCTTGGAATTAAAGATGTGACTGCAAGTCTTAGGGCAGGGCCAGAAACCAACAGATTCCTTTGTTTTGACTCAGTCAAAGCTGAAAATGTAGCATCACATAAATAAATAGTTGAAAAAGGCAATAAAAATTGCATTGCCTTTTCATAGAGTTCTGGGTAACTTGTCTTTGCATTTATCCAAAATTGAGTTACAGACACTGACTTAAATACTGATTGTAATTCTAAATCTGAAGATAATTGTCCCAGTTTTTCTTCTTCAAAGTCCGTGAGATTGCTATTTTGGTGATTCATAAAAGGATTAAGTATCCACAAATTTCCAGAACGCAAGTCTTCTTCTGATGGATAACAGTCGTTGAACATTTGAGAAAGTCCTTCCAGGTGCTCAAAAACAATGCTGGCAATGCTCCTCATATTTAATCCTGATGAGTTTGAGAATTCGGAAAATGAAGAGAACATGTCATAATCATTCTCTTGTGTGCGCTTCAACCACATTTTTAACTTTTCTTTAAATACATCCATTTTATTATACAAGTTGAAGAGCGTAGTCATAGTTCCTTGGAGACTTAAATTTAGTTCATTTATAAGTGAAAAAACATCTGATAAATAGGCCAGCTTTGCAACCCATTCCTCATCAACAAAATACTTGGCCAAATCTGAATGCTTTTGATTTAGAAAAATTTCAATTTCATGTCGTAATTCAAATAATCTTGTTAAAATTCTCCCCCTTGATATCCAACGTACTTCAGCATGAAGTGGTAAATTCACATGCTCAGACCCCATTTCTTCACACAAGATTGTTAACATACGTGAATTCAGTGCATTGCTCTTTATAAAGCTTAAAATCTGTGCTGACTGCAGAAGAATTTCATGTAAGCATGGAGACAAGTTTTCTGCTGCTAAATGTTCGCGGTGAATAAAACAATATGTAAATGCCACCGTATTCATGGCAACTTCTTGAATTTTTGCCCTTAAACCAGAATACCTGCCTGTCATGCTTGCAGCCCCATCTGTACAGAGACCAACACAATGTTTCCAATCCAGAGATTTACTATCAGTATATTTATTTATTAGTTCAAATATTTCCAAACCAGTTATTAGAGAAGGCATTTCAATACAACATAATAATTCTTCTTTTATATCACTACCATCATAATCAATGAAACGAATATAGCACAAAAGAAGGGTGATATTTGAGATTTCAGAACACTCATCTATCTGAAGGGCAAACCACTTTGATTCTCTGACTTTCTGAATCAGCTGCTCTTCAATGTCGGCAGACAGTTCATCAATCCTGCATCCAATCGTATTATTAGAAAGAGGAATGGTTTTCATTTTGTCTCCAGCACTTGAACCCAAAACTTCTGAACACATTTCTACTAAGTATGGTTTAATTAATTCTTCTGCAATGGAGAATGGCTTCTTGCTGGCAGCAATTTGGAAAGCAATTAAATAAGATGCTTTCATAAGTGATTTTTCAACTAATAAACACTTTTTAAAAGAACTGTTTTGACATTCCATTTCAAGAGATTTTTGTTCAAAAAAATCTACTGGTTTGTTTTCTAATTCTGAATGTTTTGTCTTCAAATGATGAGAAAGATCTGCTGGCTTCATGTTTTCAGCAGATAAGATTTCTCCACAAATGACGCATTGTGGCCTTGGTGAACTTTCTTTTGATCCCGGACAGATAATAAAACCAACTTTTAAATATTCCGCATCACAGGTCTGGAAAAAACCTACTCTTTTTTTCTTTGCAGGTGGAGAATCAAGTTCCACATCACTTTTCTCATTAAGTATAGGTAAATCTGAATGAAATATTTGAATCTGTTATTTTCAAGGACAAATAAGCAATGTTCTTTATGTTTTTCCCCACGGATTTAAAATTTATATTATTTTTACTATTTATATTTATCAAAGGAATTCACTAATTAAAGTTTAAACACAAACCATAATACTTCCATTATGCTATGAAATAATGAATTTTTCCTTTGCCCAAAGTTTGGTCACTGACTGAAGTAAACTGTAGGCTGTGGTAGATGAATTAGCAATGCTATGTATTCAACAGATTACTGGAATTATAGCAGAAGTATACAGAATATATCAAACTAAGAATAAGTTACTTAACTTTTTAAAAGTTCAGGGGAAAAAAAGAAAACAAATGTTGCAAAAAGTTAACATTTGGTGAAGGGTATATTGGTGTTCATTATGCTGTATTTTCAATCTTTCTGAATTTTGAAACTTTTCCAAATTAAAGTTGAGGAAAAAAGAGAACTGTTAATTATTAGATTTAATACCCAGTGTTAGTGAGGGCGCAGAGAAATGGATGCTTTCAAACTGGAGCATAAATTGATGTAACTTTTTAGGACAGCAATTTTGCAACATGTCTCCAAAGCCGTAAAATCTATGATAGCTTTTCAATCTGTAATTCCACTACTTAGGATTTATCCTAAGAACATAATCAGACAATGGACAAAGATCCATGTATACAGCTTAATTCAACATTGTTTATAATATTAAAAAACGAGACACAATCTAAATGTCCAGTCTTAGGGGGATGGATATGTTATATACATTGGAATCTATTCATCCATTAAGAATCTCAATGTATATTTAAATTTATATTGACATGGAATGGCTTCCGATGCAATGTCAAATGAAAACATACTTTACAACAGTATATAGAAAACAATCCAATATTTAATAAAGAAAAAATCTTAAAATTTATAATCACACACATACCCACACATTTAGATGTCCACAAATCCTCTGCTACCTTCCACATGTGAATGTGTATATAAATTCATGTACACAGAGTTTATCATTTTAACAGGAATACAAAGCAATCATATTTACTGAAGAGAACAGGATTCTCCTCAACTCTTACTGAAAGAAAGGCACTCTACCTAAAAACTCACAATTACCTTTTAATAGACTAAGCTTTTAAATACAGTATATTCTGTGAAATAAAATTACCATTAAAAACAAAAATCAAAAAATGCTTTGGGCAGAATAGGCTATGAAAATAATTGAAAATATAAGGGTAGTAGGATTAAAAGCTATAACATGGACTGGAGCAATTAGTTTTCAAGTATAAATTCAAGTAATTTTCCTGATCACCAATACCTCAGACATATAAATAAATCTTTAACTCACAAATCAATTCACAGTATTTAAAAAAAAGAACTAAGGCTAAGTCACTAATGCTTTCAAATAAATTTATATCTTAGTAATTATAATAGCTTTTCTGTACATTTGAAAAACAGCAATGCACACATGTGGAAGATGTTTGTCCACTCTACACATAATGGTTTGTGTGCATATAGATTCAATTTAGTAGTTATTAGTATTAATGACAATAATTATAAGAAATAAATTAGATATTCAAAGTATGTGATCCAAGAATTAATGAACATTTTCACATTTAAGAAATTGTCAGTGACTTCCTTTCCCTTTCTTAAAAAAACAAATAAAACGAAAACCAAACTTTCTACATGCAGAAAACACAAGGACACGTACCTGTCTGACATTCCTTGTGTTGTGTATGTGGTTTGCAAGAGATGGCCTTGGTCTGGGTGACTGGCTTGCACAGTAATGCTTTGTTCTTTAAAAGCCTGGAAGACTGGGAAGATGGAAGTTTCATGGCATCTGTCTGCGTATTTTCCTAGTTAAAAACAAATTCAGAAGCCAAAGAGATTTTTTTTTAGTATCTTATCACTGACTATAACTGCTATCAATTCAAAGGTGGCATATATCGAGAAATATAATTCTACTGAAAGAGTAATTGCAATAAAGAAGTCACTTTGGAAAATATGCAGTATTCCTAATTCTTCTAATTGGTATCAGTTCCATTTACTGATTTTTAAAACTACTCTGCCTATAGTGCATACAATGAAAACAATCTTTGCTGATTAGGACAAGTCGCTATTCAGAAAAATTAGATCCGACCTCAGGTAATATGCAAAAATATACTCCATAACGATTCAAGACCTCAATATGTAAAAAAGTAACTTTAAGATCACTGGAGAACTTTCAAACGACCAGAACAAGGAGCAAATATTCTTAAATAAAACACAAAAGAATTAAAAACCAAGTAGAAAAGACTGATACATTTTACTACCTTGAATTTTACGCAAACAAAGGTCTTTATAAAACACAACTGAAGGATAAGCAAGAGTGGGCGAATGTACTTAAAACATGTTTTTTTCATTCAGTAAATATGTACTTCACATTTCACATTTACCGCAAACCAGGAACTATTCTAAATCCTGAGGCTACAGCAGAAAACAAGACCAAGTCCTGTTCTTAATGGGCCTTACATTCTAGAGGGGAGACACAGAAGAGAAGTCAAATAAATATGTAATGTGTAATTTTAGGTAGTGATAAGTGCTATGAAAGAAATAAAGCAGGGTAAGGGAATGGAGAGTGATGGTGTGGAGGAGGGTAATATTGGAGTAAACATCTAAGCAGAGACCTTCTGAATATTCAGAAGGGCAAGCCATGCAAAGGCCTGAGGTCGGAGGATTCCAGACAGAGGGACTGTAGGTGCAAAAGCCCTGAAGTGGGAAAGAGCTTGGCACACTTAAGGAACATCAACAAGACCAAGGCTGAAATAAAGTAAGGAGGGGCTAGAATGATAAGTTTGGAGAGGTAGGCAGAAGCCAAACTGTACAGGATCTGGAAGGTCTGAGTTAATAAAAACAACAAAAAATTAGGATTGTATTTTAAGTATGATGGAAAGCCACTGGAGGATATAGATGCAATAATTTTGAGTTACGTAATAACTCAAAAGGTATAACAGTGTATATACATAAACAGTTTTCCATGCCGGTCTGCCAGCTATCCAGACTCAACCTTGAACACCACCACTGTTCCCAATTTCTTATACATTCTTCTAGAGATGGCCTATGTAATTAAGTAAGTTGCTTCTGACTACCATGGTTGCACATTAGCAAGGTTCTGCCCATTGCATTGTCATTTAGCAAGCTATCCTGGAGGTATATTTTCATAACTTTGTATAAAGATGCCTAGTCATAGCTTTATACACTGAATGTACCTCAGGTAATTTGAAGTGCCTCTGCTGCTGAACATTTAAATGTTACAAATCTTTTGCTGTTATAAATAATATTGCAGTAAATATCCTTATATATAAATTCTACATGTGCTATTATATCTATAGAGTATGGTCTTATAAGTGCTGTTTGGTGGGTCAAAATATATTAAAATCTATATGTTACAGGCTTTAATAATGATGGTCCTGCCAAATTGCTTTCCATAGAAGTCATATCTAATTAAATGGCCTCCAGCAATGTATCTGAGCCTGTTTCCCAACACTTTGATCAATGCAGCATGATCTGACTTTTTGCTATTTCTCGATAAGTGAAAAGTTATCTAACAGTACTGTGGGTAAGTATTTTTCACTTTTAAGCATTATTTGTATTTCCTCTTCTGTGAACTGTCTGCTCATATCCTTTGCCCTGTTTCCCTTTATCTTTTAAAAAAATTCTAGGCGTATTTTTTGAATGGGTAATATACAAGGTATGATCAAAAACTACAGTGAATGTTTAAATAAAAAATTATTGATGGCTGGATAGCTCAGTAAGAAGAGCACGAGAGCCGGCAAAGTGG